CCCATACATGCAGAAGAAACAAGACCCAAGGATAGTTACAATATGGTAATAAACCTAGAATCGTTACCACCAAATTTATTATTCTATGGTTCATTTGATTATATATATATATATATATATTTATTTATGACCACTTATGAAAGCATAATCCTATTATAATATTGAGTTACAAGTAACCTTTTTTAGTATATTAAATGATCGCCTTTAATAACCTATATTTACAAACATGCATTTGGGCGACATTTCGAACAAACGCTTTTTATCCAGCCTTGTAACCACTCAGATTGCTAACAGAACTAACCCCATCAAGCATGCTAGTAGAATGAACACCATCTAGCATACTAACAGAAAGAATAACATTTAGTATGCTTAACATAAGAAACACCATTCATCATATTACCAGAAAGAACACCATTCAGCATGCTAACAGAAGGAACATCTTTCAACATACTACCAGAAGGAACACCATTCGGCATGCTTAACAAAAGGAACACCATACTGACAGAGGGAACACCATTCGGTATGTTAAAAACAGGAACAACTCAGCATATTAACAGAAGAACACCATTCGGAATGTTTAACAAAAGGAACACCATTCGGCATGCTTAACAAAAGGAACACCATACTAACAGAAGGAACACCATTCGGCATGCTTAACAAAAGGAACACCATACTAACAGAAGGAACACCAATCAGCATGTTTAATAGAAATAACAACTCAGCATACTAACAAAAGGAACACCATACTAACAGAAGGAACATCATTCAGCATGCTTAACAAAAGGATTCTCAGTTGTTCCTTCTGTTAGTATGCTCAGTTGTTCCTTCTGTTAGTATGCTCAGTTGTTCCTTTTGTTAGTATACTCAGTTGTTCCTTTTGTTAGTATGCTCAGTTGTTCCTTCTGTTAGTATGCTCAGTTGTTCCTTCTGTTAAGCATGCCAAATGGTGTTCCTTTTGTTAGTATGCTGAGTTGTTATTTCTATTAACGATTCTGATTGGTGTTCCTTTTGTTAAACATGCCAAATGGTGTTCCTTCTGTTAGTATGCTCATACTAACAAAAGGAGCAACTGAGTATACTAACAAAAGGAACAACTGAGCATACTAACAGAAAGAACAACTAAGCATACTAATAGAAGGAACAACTGAGCATACTAACAAAAGGAACAACTGAGCATATTAACAAAAGGAACAACTATTAGAGGAGACCACACATTACTTTACCATAAGTATTTGTTTGTTTCGAATATGCGTGAAGACTACACAAGAACTATCTGCGTTAGCCATCTCTAATTTTAAACTGATAGATCCGAAGGAAGACAGCTAGCCGACAGTGCCAAACGACGACTCCTGGGCTGCTCTTGTTTGACCAAAAATGGGACTTACCGCCCCAATGTTCATAGCTCGATTTTTTGGTAACGAGACGTGAATCATCGATCCTCGAATCCATAGTCAAGCATTCTAATTACTAGACCATGCCTAGTCCTACCAGAAGTAACACGTAGTCGAATCCATAGTCAAGCATTCTAATCACTAGACCATGTAACACGTAGTATTTTGTAACAACTCAGAACATAATCAGATGTTTTAAAAAAGAAATGCATATATGATTAAGATTAGAAAATAAATAAACAAAAAACAAATTAAAAACGTTTATGAGTGACAAATAGAGCAACTACTCTTTGTCAGTTCTTGTCTAAGCTGATATACCAAAGCTTGAAAAAGAAAGTGTGTTCGAAACATTACTCAATTTAAATTAAAAGATTCTTCACATTTATTCATTTACTGAGTTATTATGAGTGTCTCTTCCTTATGTTATCAGAAGTGTTCACACAATGTCGTTGTCAGATGTATGAACAGGCAGTCACCCATAATGTTATTGTCGTATATAAACAAGCGGTCACCCATAATGTTATTGTCGTATATAAACAAATGGTCACCCATAATGTTATTGTCGTATATCAACTATTGGTCACCAATAATGTCATTGTCGGGTATAAACATATGGTCATCAATTATGTTAGTGTCGGATATAAACAGGCGGTCAGCCATAATGCTGTTGTCGTATATAAACATGTGGTCACCCATAATATCAATGTCGAATATAAACAAGTGGTCACCAATAATGCTATTGTCGCGTATAAACAAGTGGTCACCCATAATGTCATTGTCGTATATAAATACACTATGTGTCTTCCACCTCCCTGTACTAATATATAAATTTAAAAAAATCCTTATTTTGTGCTTTTTTTTCACACCATTTTGTTCATCAAAGTCGCTAAATTCCCTGTAGTTACCCATTGTATAATGTCGTTCACCTAGATTATGAGCCTATGGAGGTAACAATCTCTCTTGTGTTTTGTTGGGAAATGACCAATCACGTGAGTAGTGCTAATTGCTGTGAGGAAGCCTGTTGTAACGATTTAAGTAGCTAACATGAAATATATTCAGTTTGGAACACTATCTCAGCAGAGTAGTCTAAAGTGGGATCTTGAGAGATATATTGAAACTTGAGATCACTTAGTTAATATTAACTCTCCAGTAAAGGCAAATGTCCTTTTTAACCAGTGAAACATAAATTTTAACTGTGTTTGTCTAAATAAAATATTATTTTTCTAATTCTTAATTTGTGTTCAGTCTTTCTTTATTTACCATGAATTCAGCAGTCAGAGAACTCCGCAGTAAAATCTTATAGAGTCTCCTGTTATTAGCGGACCTATCTTTTCATTCTGAGTGGAATCAATCTTACCAGAAAGTACCACATAATCAAAAAAAGGGCAGCTTAGTTATCACAAACGAAATATTTGTATGTTATCAGAGGTGACATCTCAGTATGTTATTAAAATTTACAGCTTAGTATCTTATCAAAAACGATAGCTCAGTATGTTACTAGAAACGACACCTCAGTAAGTTATCAAAGCACGCTGAGTAGTTAGGGAGGGGTACGTGTATTATTTAGTTCCCGAATATTCTCTTAGCTTATGCTTTTTCAGTAGAGTTTATTCGTACTTTCACGATTACAAGAACAGCAGCCATTGTCCTTTTTACTTTCATTATTCGTGATGTAACTGAGCAGTTGAAGTTGAGTTTCAATTACCATTTGAAATTACAAGAAATACAATATATCTCAACTATCGGAAAGAGTTTTAATAAGAAAACTCTCCTAAAGTATTCGAATTCATTGATAAGACATCAAAAAAGTAACATTTTAAAAACTATCTTGAATACGAGAAACAAATAGCGTGCAACAATAATATATATATATATAGTTGTAGCTGTTATGCAACAGGTAGTATTTAATTATCAACTTGAAATATAAGTACCTTAATATCAATATCAACATATATATATATCAATAATAATAATAATA